GACTAAATCAACCTGTGTTGAAGTGAAGAAAACAGACTGTTGCTCCACACCAACAAAACCAAAAGCAGGATTTTGATTTCAAAAAAATCAAAGCAAAGACAACCCTCTCTGTCTTGATCAGGTCAGCTGAAGTGAAGTAGATAAACCATTTTATGGTCAAGGAAGGCAATATTATAAATAAACTATTGTAGTTATCATGCATTGTCATTGTAAGAAAGCTCTGATTACTGCAATTATCGAGAATAGATAAACACATAATTAATTTGAAATATGATTTTGCAAGCCTACAACACTGCCTTACACATGCTTTGCTTGTCTGAACCGTTAGCTATGAGTTTTTCCTAAAAATAAACACGTGTATGCAAGATGCCAGTGGTAGAGGCAGCGTAGGAACACGTGTACAAATGTTTCTTGGTTATCAGTGGTCTTTTATGCCATGTACAACACAGCTGCAATTTCATTTTATTTGATAGAATCCTTGTGTTTGGTTCTACAGTTTTCCAGTGTAGTTTTCTAGACAAGGAAATTATTACAACAACATGATGCCTGATTAGCGAGCAAGTAAGAAACAAGAAATGCTCAACTTCAGAGTAAAGTTATGATAAACTTCCACGCCGGAGCCGTCGCTTTATGGCTCAGGACGTGAATTCTCTGCAGTGGCGTGATTAAAACTGCCCGAAAAATCACCGCAAGTCATCATGTACACTAAACATCACTGACATCCAGGAGGTGAGGCTTCTGTGCAGAGGATACCGAAGGACAAAACCAACCGCAGACATCTGCTGCTGTACAACTCAGGCTTTGAGCTCAATGYATCACCATAATGCATTCTTTCTTAATATAACTGTTTTTGTGAATTACATAAAAAGACAACCATTTCAATGTTACCTGATCAATATTTGTTGTAAGACTGACTCTATATAAATCACAAAAATGCTTTAAATAATGTCAAAAGAAAAACACATCTTAAATGAGAAGTCTTTCTGGGTGGACTGAGTCGATCAWCGTAATGACACCTTGCCATATAAAAATGTTGTTTATTGCTATCAAAGTAAGCCTCCTGACTTCAAACTCATTCTGAAGTCTCAGTCAAAGGAAACACGCTGATTATTCCAAGACTTTTTACTCAGATCTTCCCAAAAAAATAAAAAAAAAAATAACGTGGACCCTGTTTGACTGCTGTTACAAACCTCATCCTCAGTTGGGAGACAGGATTTCACACAAGACACAAAAACACATCGCCTGGTGAGCAGTCTGAAGCTTGTAGGGTTTTTTTTCCCACCAGACAAGACAAAAACAAAACAAAAGTGATAAATGTTCAAAACAAAGCATGCAGAATGAGAAGACAACAACATGCTGCTGAGAAATGACATCACAAGAACAGGAGGTTTGGATGCAGAAGAAGATAATTAGTAAAACCAACTTAAAAAAAAGAAAAAAAAAGAATTGAATTCTAGCCCTTTAAGTCTACAATCAACCGATAAAATGTCTGTGTTAAAAAAGCAGCCAACTTTCCCCAGCCTGGCTGAACACAGAGCTCCATGCCGCTGAGAGAGTGAACCTCCTTGTGCCCTCCCCTCGTGCCGCAGCTCCGCGCGTGTGTGTGTGTGTGTCAGTGTGTGTGTGTGTGAGAGAGAGAGAGACTGCCCTCCCGGCCGCTCATGAACTTCCCTCACACAGCCGCAGTTTCCTCCCCCCATAAATAAAACTTACTTTTCTCTGGCTTGGCTGTCGGACGGCACGTTGCTACTCTTGCCTTTGGCGTACATGCTTGCAGAGAGCTCCGATTGTCACGCACCTGTCAACCCATCACAACCTCCCTGGGCACAGCCCCGTCACCATGGTGACACAAGCAGCGGCGTCTTCCATTGGATGTCCCGCTGTGCAGGACCGCCCGCTCGCTATGGCAACGCGGAGTGAGCGACAGCTGCAAGCCCCGCCTACCTGAGGGGCTGACTCCACTCACCTCCTCTCTCTCTCTCTCTCTCTCTCTCTCTCTCTCTCTCTCTCTCTCTCTCTCTTCACTGATTGGAAAGGTTTTCCTGACACACACACACACATGTATTCACACACATCTGCAGTTCCCTCCCTCATTCTCCTCTCTGAGGGGGGAGTTTGAAACCGTCCAGCAATGGGTTTTTTAAACAACTGGCTTAGACAATCACACCCTCTTCTGACACACTGCGCAAACAATACCACTACATTTCCATCTGTGTACTGTTCACTTAGGTGTTAAAGGTGTTCACTGGAAACTATAAAATAAAACACACTCAAAAAACAGAATGCCCTGGACTATATGAAATGGTGCGGTAGTTTGAAAAAGTTTATTTAGGTAGTTTTCCAGCTATATGTGCAATTCTGAAATGCAGGTACTCACTCAGTGTAAACAAAGCATTTGGAAACTTAAAGTGCCTGTGACATGCATATGCTTCAAATACAAAAAAGTAAAAAATATATATATATGTGAAACAAAACTTGGCATAATACATGTGATTTCACCCCTTTTTAACTGCCATGTTCTATTGAACTTAGCTCAGCCAAAATGAAACAGGAAGTGACATCAAAGGGGAACTCTTTGAGAAAGAAAACTCCTTGTTTTTTTGTTTTTTTTTTTTTTTTTGAAACAATGTTTTTTAAACTCTGACTGTTCTTCATCTCATTCCAGTGGCGGATCTAAGATTTTTCTGTGTAAGGGGCCCTCAAGAGGCCACAATATTCATAGAGGGGCCAAGTTATTTTGTTCAACATCCCTGTACACAAATACCTTGTTTTGGTAAGGTGTAAACATTTAACCAGTCACACATGTTCAAATACTTACTTGCTTGGTATTGCAAAAACGTGTACAGTAAATTCTCCTCACYAGTTTTACATACATTTTTACTGTAAATAAATTAAATACTCTCTCTCTCAAAAAAAATCCAGTCGTTTGTCAGTTGAAAGACTTTTTTGCAGGATAGTTCAAACTTTCTCAAGAAAAGAAGAAGACTTCTCTAAGCTTAATTCATGCTGGACTTTCCTATTTGACTCATTAGTAACACTAGTGTTTGGGCATGGAACTGCATCCATAATTATCACTGTCAGGCAAAGGACAGATGAGTGACAGGACGGGGCAACTTCAGGGGGCCAATCAGATTTCAGCTGGGACCAATGCCCCTGTGGCACCGCCCCTAGAACCTCCCCTGTCTCACTCTGATCTATAACTCAAATGTTGTGATGTTCAGACATTCCCTTTCGTCATCGCTTCCTGTTACTTTTCATACAAATATCTCTACAATGGTTCATCTTGGCAGCATGAAACTTTTTTTTAATAATTCTCGATTAATGTTATCTTTCCGATGATGCATTCCTATTTATTGCACCGATTTGATGTCACAGKCACTTTAAGGCTTGTGATTGATCTGAATTAGGTTGGCAGCAGTTCAGGTAAGTAAACTATCTGAGAAGTTTATTTTTGAGAAGACATTTAAAGGGTGTCATGTCATGCTAAATCCACTTTTTTAACTCTTAAATATATTTTGTTGTGTACTTCATCATCATCGTCATCAAACTTTATTTATGAAGCGCTACAACATCAGCCACAGCTGAAACAAAGTGCTGAACACATGAAATACTTGGAGATTCTAGTAGTGTGGAAAAGTTTAATTTAGTATCTCCTAGTCCAGATATTTATATTCTTTTTTTGGTCATATCTTCAGTTTTATCTATTTTTATGATGTTTTCTGCATTATTACATAAATTATTTGTGATGGAACTGCCAAATAAGGTCTGTCTGGACTTACAACAATTTGGCCGTCTTCATTCTCCTCTGGCTCTGCGTCAGACTCTGGCTCCAACATGCAACATCTTATTTGGGATTTAAAGACACAGTGTCAAAATGAGTTGCTTTGACACAAATCTAAAAAAAAGGGGTGAAAGAGGGGCTTGTGGAGTTACAATAAGGAAGAATTCAGACTAAAGCATTGCAGTTCCACTTTACATAGACCCCATCTTAATGGTTTAAATTTGAAAAAGAAGGGTTTAAAAGCACAATACTGTATGTCTCCTTTAAGTGAAAATGCAAGTGTGAATCTGCTGCAAAACATTGAAAAAAGTAAAAGCATGAACAAGACAGTTCAAGCTTAAATATTGGGGATCAAAAAGCACATCGGAGCATCAGGAAGTCAGAGCATTCAAACACACATAGCTTTTATAAAACTTTTGCCACACCCATGAACTTAGCATTGCAATGTTTTTTCAATGCTAGTCTAAAGCTTGGTGTTATGCGTAAAAGCTCCGTGATATGCTTTTAAGCTGCTTATAAGTTGCCTACTTGATTGGATTAAGTCAGACGAGGGTCGGCCCACGGCTAGAAGCTTGGCATTTCTTGTCTGTTTTGTATGCCATCAATAGCTTGCACAGTTGTAGTGATGCAAATATGTGGGTGTAAATATGGACCAATTACATCGAAATTGTTGGACTTGCTGGACAATGCCATTGTTGACCTATTTTTAGTCACTTCGGCTGTTTCCGTTGGTAAACAAACCCAGATGGCAACTGGCAGCTGTTCCCATTAACCATCAATGTAAGGAAAAAATGTGCTGATTTGGATTCTGACTTTATTGTTCATCTTTGACCGTTTTTCATGACATTGCAATGAGCACCTTAGAGACATTCGTACTGACGGGGAACGGACAAGCACTACCTGTACAGAACATAACCAACAGGGAGGGTGTGAAGTGTGCTTTCCTTCGAAACACACTGAAGCTGCTTCAACACCAAGAAGGAAATGTTTGGAAGGTTCTGTGATGGCTCAGTGTCGTGTGACGCTGAGGATGACTTGATCTGTTTGAGCAGGATTTGATAGATTTGTACCCATGCTCATCGTGACTTGGGCAACTCTGGGGTGAGCATACAACATTGCATGCATGTGTTTTCACTTATAGAATAAGTACTMTGTCATGCTGCTGTCCAGCTTGACAGTTGAGAGAGAAGAGAACTCAATTCACTGTCAAATTGCTCTCATCAAGAAAAAAAAAACATCCTCTGAGTGAAAGCAGACGAGAGGAGAGAGGCAGGCCACAGGATCTCACTTTGGTGCCATTCAACTGTAGTAAGCACTACAGACTGTCGTACAAAACGTCTGATTCCCTGACAGTGGTAAGCTCTGGAAAGACACAGATTGTTTCAGTGTGTGTGTGTGTGTGTGTGTGTGTGTGTGTGTGTGTGTGTGTGTGTGTGTGTGTGTGTG